GGTAAAAATGAGTAGACAAGATATAATTATAAAATGCCCCCAAACACCCACATGGGCCCCTGCGAGTGTGTTGTAGGAACACACGTGACGTCTAGGGATGCTGCACGGGTCAATAAGTGAATTCAAGTTCGAACCCGATCCTCCTATACGGATCAATAGGAGTCGACAGGGTTTGAACAATCAAACAAATACATGGTTATGACAACCGGTGTATTTGTTTTAATGCATTCAATGACTATAATCAAGAAAATTCACTAACAAAGGCATAAAGCCTACGAGAAACCCGATCCTCGGTCAACAACTCTACCGAGTTGACAAGGTTCAATCAACAAATGGAAATGACCCCAAACACCCCGATGATGACCGTGTTGATTTCTTATCTCAACCGGAGGGGTTCACAAATATTTTTCAAATGCCGTTCCAAATATTCAAAAATCCAAAAAAATCTTAAAAACTCAAAAATAAAAAAAAAATTAAAATTGAAATAAATCCACCAAACTACTTAAAGCAAAATCCATTCACCCTCCGCAACAGTTTGCCGAGATGGACAAATCTGAAAATTACTTCAGCACAAAGGGCTAATGCCTGGTCGTGAATATCACTAGGGTCTATTCTCAAACAATCTCCTGCCAGTAAGGACGTTGTACGTGTCCTCTAACCGGCGGTTTTGCCGCCAAATGGCACCGCATGATAAACGATTATGACCCGGGGCCCTCTGAACCGAGTGGTTTTGTCGCCAAATGGCACCACGAAATACCGGTTATGGCCAGCGCCAATGCATTCCTTATTGGCATCAAATCCTTGAGATATGAACCAATAGGATATGATCGATAGGGCACAAAGCCCTCTGTTAGCTAAGGTGGATTCAAATTTGACCCCTTAGGAAAATAACCATCCCAGGTCTACAAGGTCCCCTTGGACGAAGCAACCCATGGCTGCCGACAAGAATCTTTCTGTCAGGTTGGGTCGACTACCTCTGACAAAGTAGACCAGGGACCACGATGGCCCGGGATGACGGAACCATGGGATCTTGATTGGGTCTATCATCCATTCCCCCATCACCCGCTTTAATTGCAAGATTGTGAAATTTCCAATTTTAAACATCAAATCTTCCAATCCTCCAAATTTCCAAATTCTTCAACTATATCTCAAACCCATGCTGCTACTATATGCTTGATACTACGTATCTATGGATACAACGTATCTGATTGACGACTAGCCTTAATTGAAAGTTCTCTCTCATTACCGGGAGAGGTAATTAACTGTAGGGGCTTGCGCCTATAGGAAACCAGAACTCAGATCATAAAGTCCTCTCAAAATGAGGGCGAAATCTTTGGGAAGTGTCTTATTTACAAATCCATCTGCCTTCCAAAATTTACCCCGGAACTTAGTTCGTTAAAACTCCCTCGCAAAGCAAAATCATAGCGGGGGGAGGCCGGGGCCGAATTTTCAGAGCCCACAGCTCACTACTTGGGTATTTTTTGTTAGTCCTTATAGTTCTTGTTACTTTCATGTGGGCAATCTCAATGTTAAAATCAGAATTACTATTGCATTATGAAGGATATTCGAGAATTGGGTAAAACACATGTTTTTTCTATGAAGAAATGCTTTGATCCCCTTTGTTTTGTGAATTTCCCTGAAATTTGGTATAGACATCTATTTTGTACCTAGCTTATTATATGTGAAGTTAATAATTTTTAATGTAACTAGGGGCATGAGATTCGGGTAGTTCAAAGAGCGATGTAGGCTCAAAAGAGGGTAGATATTCATACAAAACTTCTATTCATTGAGAGTTGGAATTCTCCCCCTAAAAGTGAGCTTTGGGTAAGAAAGTTATTTAAAAAAAAAAAGTTACGTCCATAGAATTGTAACATTTTTTAGCATTTGGATAATAACATTTGTACTCTTGTTGGTTTTGTGAGCAGCCAATAAATACACTTTATGACTCCTAGATAAAGTTTACCCATTTCATGAGGTTGAATATGAACAAAAGTAAAATAATTAATGACATTGAAAGAAATAGTGAAGATAAGTTTATTGAGAAAAGAACCAAAATGGTCCCTCAACTCTTTGTGAGAGACCAAAATAGTCCCAGACTCTTTTGAGGATCAATTAAGTCCCTCAACTCTTTAAAATTGATCATTTTTGTCCTACCATAGTACCATTCAATATTGGAGCTAATGATGTTAAATGTAAGAGTATTTTGGACATTTTCTAATTAAACTATTTATTAAATATAATTTTCAAGTAATTATAATTTTTCTAAAAAAATTATTAAACATTTTTTAATAAAGAACAATCATATTTTATAAAATGATATTTCAATATTTCAACTCTTGTTACTTTTAGAATTCATCAAGATTTTATTCAGAATTGGTATAATATTTCATGTCCTACATTATTTCTATTTAAAAGTCTTGCTTGTGGTCTTATGAATATTGAAAAATGATGGTACTTTTTTTCCTTGCTTTGCCTCTCCTAAAATATAGGACATGAAATATTATATCAATTCAATAGATGGTAAACTAACATTAGATTCATAAAATTATTCAAAATCTGTAACAAAATCCTCATAGGAATGGGAAGAAGGGCTAGCTTAGCTGGAGTCTATGAAATAGTACACTTACAAGCATATAGACCCTATTTTCTAGGTTTTCAATCCACCAACTTCCCATGCAAGTTTAAGTAGGTTTCTTTTTGTGTATAGATTTCTATTGGTGACCTGATTAAGGACTTTTTTCTATGTGAAATTTTTATTGGAGGTATGCATGCTCTTTTTGTGATATTATAACCAAATAAGGATATTAGTGCATATGAGACAATACTAAGAAATTGATAGATAAATGTGAAAAATTAATACGATGGAAGAAGAGAAAATATTCATCTAATATGTGAATATATCATCATGAACTCTCAATTTAAAAGTCTTGCTTGTGGTCTTATGAATATTGAAAAATGATGGTACTTTTTTTCCTTGCTTTGCCTCTCCTAAAATATAGGACATGAAATATTATATCAATTCAATAGATGGTAAACTAACATTAGATTCATAAAATTATTCAAAATCTGTAACAAAATCCTCATAGGAATGGGAAGAAGGGCTAGCTTAGCTGGAGTCTATGAAATAGTACACTTACAAGCATATGAGCTCTCATAAAAGCTAGGCACAGCATTAGGAGGGTCTGAAAGCCTTGATTCCATAGATTTAACAAGAATTTGTACTAAAATTTATGTGCAAGTATGAGCTAAAGAAAGTGGAGCAGCAACCTCCACAAGTGGTGATAGACTTCAGAGAACAAGTAATGAGCTTTTAGGATAAGTTGGATGACCTAGGTTTTTCATCATGATGTTTTTGCTTCTCATTTTTTTATAAACTTCGACGAATGCTTCCTAAATGAATGAAAGGGCTTTTGTTCCAATTGTTCTATCTTAGAATTCATCAAGATTTTATCTAGACCAAGAAGGAATTTTGATATTGTATTTTTTTGAACTATTTTGTAATGTCTAATTGCATCCTATAAGCACTCTAAAGCAAATTTTTCAAAGACATCAAATATTTATCAATATTTATAAAAGGTACTATAATATTGACTAACAGAAAGATGACATTATCAAAAATCAAAGAGGGCATGTTGATTTCAAGCATTCGATTTTTTTTTTTTTTTTTTTTTTTTTTTTTTTTTTTTTTTTTTTGTATCCTAGATTTTTAAACATGGAATTTTGGCCAATTTTATTTTCCAGAGTTAACAAATCAATGCATAATCATGTTATTTTTAAATCTTTATATTATAAACTTTGAATGTGCATTTAATGAAAGTGTGACTGCACCTATGAGATAATCATCATTTCCTCTCTTGCTAATGAGCGTTATAAGTGATTGGCCTGTTGGAGATAGTTTTGACAAATTCAGATTGTGCCCAATAACTAGCGCCGGCCAATGGGTTGGAAAGGGTTTCGTGCCTATCAATATTGCTATGAATAATTGTTTTATGACTAGAGGTGGTGGCAAATATAGAAGCTGTATCGGATGTCATTATGTTCTAAATCGTTATCATGGTTATGACAAAGGAAAAAGAAATTAGAGACTGAAGGGATAGAAAGGTTAGAGAAGATGACTATGATACCATAATGAAAAAAGAGCATCATTCAGAAAGACTTCTAGGAACAACATGGAGGCGAAAAACAATTATTTCTTTTCCCATTGAGCAAGTTAATGGCAATATTTGTAGACATACAAATGACAACTTATGTGATGAACAAAAGTGAAAAATGATAATTACGAATCTAGAAAAAATAATACATAATATTAGTCTTCTCCCAAAGGAAGGAAGTTAAAAAAAAAGGGGGGGCAGCCAAGTAGTCGGTGAACCTTCCTGGACTAGATGAGCTAGCGAATATGGTAGGGGATTACTGCATAGCAAAACCGCCAGTTACAGTAGGGACAGTTTTCATATATTAATGTTTTTGATGGCTTCCTTATAAAATTCCTAAACATGTTGATGGATTGGTGTCCGCCTCCTCATTGGATTCCAATTTGAATACAAGAGAATCAGCAGCTATACTATCTCCTATATTTGTGCTTAACAACTGTCCATAACCACCCATGGACCAGAATTTCAATAGCATCCTTGTTCATTCCTCCACTCTACCAATAACATTGTGCAACAATAGCTCCAAAATCCATGGTTAAGCAGTTCCGAACACATATGACAGAATGGCCTAGGAATTTAATTCATGCTAGACCACAGGTTGCCTCATACTAAATTAACCATGAATTAACATAAATACTTCCATGCCTAATTTGGAAGATTAAAAAAAATAGCAGAATTTATATTGTAGAACATGAGCACATTGTGCTATTAAATCTTTTGCAAAAGAAACTGTGAGAGGTAACACGATAAAAAGAAATTAAAAGTCTGCTATTTTTAATAGCACAACCTTCACTAAGATATAGCTTCACTAAGATAGAAAATAAAATGCCAACCATATGTATAGCTCACCTTCACTAAGAAAATGATTGTTATTGTTCACATGATGCATCATAAAAGGATATCCAACATTGCTGCCAAATGGATGTATATTCACATTCATGGAAGAATCCCCAATCTTTTCCTGATGAAGCATCCATAAGTAAATATAGCAAGTCCATAATTAACGAGAGTTATAATCTAAGGTTACTCATAATCTATAAGTAAAATTCAAGCACAGATTTATTTTAGAAATAATAATAATAATAATAACCTTAAAATAGTCCCCCAACTATTAGCAAATGTCAAATTTAGTCCAGAGTATTGCACTTAGCTGAATTTAGTCCCTAGACTATTGAAATTGATTCAATTCTCAATGACAAAACTAACAGCTAAAATTAACACCAAAGTTAAATGTTTTTAGGTAGTGTAAGTATATATGAGATTAAATTGTTTCTGTTGTTCTATTTTATCATTTAATAAATTATAAATACAAAAACTAATATGAAAGTTAACTTACTAAATAATAACGGTGAATAATTCAAAAAAAAAAACCTTTTAAGCTAAATCTAAATGGAAGATCATACAAAACTCTAAAACGTTATTACAAAAAACATAATCATATATTACAAAAATTATAAAATTCTTATTACAAAAATGATGTCATATATTGACTATAAAACTCCAAAACTCTTATTTAAAAAAATCCGCTAATGAAAAGCATAATTTAAACGTTTTTACTTAAATTCCCCCTCATTTTAAGAAAATTAGGAGAACTACAGAATATTATGTTAAATTTGACAAATTTTCTAACAAAGGGATCAAATTGGATTAATTTTAAATAGTCAAGGAACCAAATTGGGGTAGTGCAAAACTCTAAAGACTAAATTGGGTACTTATTCACAGTCAGGAGACTATTTCAGGCTTTTTCACTTAAAAAAAATATATAACTTCCATCTTCATCTCATCATGTGAACTGAAACCAACAAATAAGCATCAAACACTATCATTAATCATGATATAACACAATATCTTTTATATATCCACTAAAATAAGCACTCAAACATCACAAGTTTCAATCAAGACCTAATATTTCCTAAGGATTAGATCAATTTTCAAAATTTAGAACTAATTCATTGAGAAATCTTTATCAGAGGAAATAATGGGATAAATTCTTCAATAACTAGAATAAATTCTGCTGTGATAAAATTACCTTTCTATCTTTGCATTTCCTTCCAGTAGAATATTCGTCTAATCTACGACGTTTCCCAGTTTCTTTCCTCTGTATAATTTACAAAGAAAAAAGCATTGGTTTAGATAAACACATATTCTAATTCAAATAAGCATACTAATACTCAATTCAGCACCATAAAGACACAAGTGCACAGCACAGTAAAAGGTATCTTCTTTTAATTTAGCGTACTTTCAAAAGTAAAATAATAACTAAACAATTTATGTACGCTAGTATACAAGGTCCTAGCTTGAAATCTGAAATTATAACTATGATTGCACGCTTTAGCCTAGTTACGAAATTTGCATTGTCATGTGAGATTGAAGGAGTCATATTGTTGATGTTTACTATAAAAGATGATCATATAATGAACATACCGACATATTTACTCATCCATAGATCCATAAGTGCTTGGATATCAATTCTCTTCTCTTCATGGAGGTTAAACGATTGAATGTTAGTTGTGAAGCTTGATAAGGGCAGGTAGAATTGAGCCTCCAAAATTTCACCCTTCATTTTTCCCTTCAACTTTATTCATATTCTCATCCAACACTCCTTCATGATCATCTTTGGCATGTTATCAACATTGATGTGCAATTAGTGAAAGTCAACACAACCAAAATCAATCAATTATTAGTTGAAGGAGGTGTGCCACATAAATAACTTATCCAAAATTATGGTTTTGAGGGACAAAAGTAATAGGGAAGTGTTTCTTCATTTCTAAGGAGCAGCAAAATCCTATAAAACTTAATTTTTGTATTACAATATACTACTTCACATAAGGCAATAGAAATAATGTAGAAAAATCCCTGGAAGGGCGGTCACCACCCAGATCTGCTTTTGTGGATGACATCAACTCATTTGTTTTTCCATATCATATGGCTAGAATTTCTTCACCTTTCCATCTCCCAATCTCTAATTTTCTATATTTACATCTAAAGTATATCTAGACTAGCTTCTAATTGACTTCTGGATTTGATTGCATGATAGGTTCTAATTTTGTATGCATCATAAGTGAAAACCCCTCAATTTTTATTCATATATTTTAATTGTTTTTTCATGCTACTATGTTATTAGTGTTTTTTTTTTTTTTTCATCAGGAATGAATTCATAGAACATCCTACATTAACATATAAAATAACTATAGAATAAAAATATAATCTATAGAAAATGATAATAATAAGAAAACTATAACGAGTTCTTATAAAATATTGATAAGAAAAACTTACACTCATCCAACTACTCCTCAATGCAACGTCCCTTACAGATTTCTCGGGCAAAAGAGCAGCAATCTTGATATATTTCATTATGCTAGGTTGATCGGCATACCTGAAATTCTCACATGAAAACCAATGTAATTGTTAGTACAAATTAAAGTAGGAAAGCTATAAATAGTCAAAAAAAAAGTGAACGTTGTCCCTGTCAGAATAGGCAAACATGGTAGAGGAAATCATTGAATCATTGGAAACAAAGATATCCAATTAAGAATCTTAATGGTTGCATATCACGATAGAGGAGTGCAGCAACCGGGCCACCATGAGAAGTGAATAACTTCAACTCATATGCCATTTTCTATGAATTAAGAAGAATGCTACGGGTAAGCTATGTTACTTATTTGGAAGCAATGAGATTAGGCGTTGAAAAATTTTCATGAAAACTAAAAATATTATGAAGCATTTTATTAGTACCCGTTGTAGTACACGGTAATGCACTCATAAACTGTATAGCAAAACTTTGGTTAGGGAAGAACTTAATAAACAGTTGATCACCGGTGGACATTACAAGCAAAAAACATTTGCCATAAATACCAACAGATACCCCATTAGTTTTGAGATTTGCTGGCATTCACTGCAAATGTAAATGAATGAAAAATCAGCCAGTTTTAGCTGCTTCTTTTTTTTTTTTTTTTACAAAAAGATTTCCCATCAATAATCAACTTATTATCAGCCAAAAACACATAAATTTTCTTGCCCCAAGCTCCTCTCTACTCTTAAATAGGACCTTCAGCACATCTCTCTTCAACGCTACCTTATCTCTTATCTTGCTCCCTTTATCGGCAGACTCAGTTTGAGCACATCTCTCTTAACGAAGAGCCTCCTAATAATGAGGCACAATAATTTGATAATATGCTACATGCTACTCAACAATTTCATAGGTACAACCCAAAATAATGGAAAATAATGCAGAATTTCAGAGAAAAACAGCAATCACGCAGCAGTTTTCACAGAAAATTGGAGACAAATCACCAAGAAAAACACTTAGTATTGAGTAGGAAAAGAAAAGAACCCAATACAATGAATCTTCGATTCGAAAGGAAGATTTTGTTATGCCGGCCCAGGAGGGGCCGGCTGGACCGGTCCAACCCGGACCGGTCCACTGTTACTCCAGGCGGAGAAAACAGACGGGGCGGAAAAACGTAAGGTCCACGTAGGCAGCTTGGGGGGAGATTATGAGGGAAATTTTGAATGAGAAGGCTGTTTTAGGAAGTTTATTATTGCCCTTTATGATTAATTTTGTATAATTAGGAGTTTGGGGGGGAATTTGAATCTTATCTTGAATTTGAGTTTTCTCTTTGAGATCTAGATTTTGTTTTGGGCTCTTGGCTTCGCCGGAGACTTTGGAGAGTACGTTCTTCCTCTCGAATCGAAGAACAAATTGTATCTTTGCAATTTTATTCGTCTACTAATAAAATACTAGCTTTTGCTTGCATTGGATCTCAGTTTTCTTGCGTTTCCTCACTGTTTTCCTGTGTAAAACTGCTGTCCACTGCTGAAGACAGCAGTTTTTTTCCCTGGTTCCGCTTCAGTTTTGGCTAGGAATTACTTGATTTCAAGAATTTCCTATCAAATTGGTATCAGAGCGTCGATTTGGGACCACCGGCGGCTGAAATTCTGAAATTTCAGCAAGTTTCTTTTCCGGAAGAAGTATTTTTTTTTTGGATCCTTAGAAGAAAGATGGCCGGAAAGAAGATGGAAGCACTAGAAGGCGAGTTCGGACAACTGAAGACAGATCTGGAGGGAAAGTTCATGGAAATCTCCACCAACAATGATAGGTTGGAAGGGAGGTTTGAGGCTATGGAAGAAATGATGAAGAAACTATTGGAGATGAAGACAAATCCGGAGACATCGGAAGTGAGAGAGACTACTGACGGCCATGGCGTAGGAGGAAATCCAAACCCAATCCGGGGGAGGAGGAATCCGGAGGTGGAGATTCTTGAAAGGGACGACGACATGCCACCTCTAGAGCCACTCTCTAGAGAGGAGATGAGCATGGGAAATGACCGTCGAGGTGCTGATTTTCAGCGTCGAGGTGTTGATTTCGGAGGCAGGCGGGGGGAATATGAAGGTAGTGCAGATTTTGGAGAAAGGAGAGAAGAATATCAGCGTCGAGGTGCTGAATTTCAGCGTCGAGGTGCTGATTTTGAAAGAGGAAGGGGGGATTATGACGACGAACTCGGATACCAGCGT